AGGCGCTGCCCTCGCTGTAAGATTCCGTCTAATAAAGGCGATACTATTGCCTTAGAATAAATAACGCGTAGGTAAATTCTATATATCGTGTAAATATCGATATAAATAAACGAAATGAGACGTTTAATAAAGTTAGGTTTGCCTCGTGAAAACAGCAATACTCTGAGGGATTGTGAGGCTGAGATATTGCCTATATATAATCCTCTCAGTACTGTTTCCGCCGAAGGGTTTTTATTTAGTGTTTCGTTGTCGCTTTATTATGGGACGAATCCGAAAGACTCATAAAATCTTATCTTTAGAAACAAGAAATAAAAATAGAAATACTCTTGACGTCTTTAGTTATTGTCTTAACCAATAGCTTGCCACTATCAAGAATTACCGACTTAACCTTCATCAGACTGGCACATCTGGTTGGCTTATCAGAGGATCAACTACGCAACGTTAATAGTCCATAGAAACCTATATTCGGTTGAGCCATCTCGCTACCGAAGTATTCAGATATTAATACAAATTGGAAAGTAAATAAAGCTTTATTAATAGAACTAGACCAAATCTTATGTTTGGTATTTTACTGAGGCCTTTTAATGGCCTCATCCAAATATCGGATATGTTAAATGGAAAAGGTTTAATTAATGAAACCATTAAAAACCATTTTAGGAAACTTAAGTTCCTCGTGCTATTAAGGGCACATTTAGGAGACTTAAATTCCTCGTACTATTAAGAGTATATTTAGGAAACTTAAGTTCCTCGTACTATTAAGAGTACGTTTATAATTTGCGTACTGCTTAAGAGTACGTTTATACATAGTGTCAAATGTGGAGGCCCGGTTTATTACATCGCTGGCTACTTTGAGGCCATATTCAACTCTACAAACCCGTACGTGATTCCACCGGATACCGAACCCTCTCTTGATGTCACTTCCACCAAACGCCCCGACGATATAATGGAGGCAATACTATGCTATCCCAATAAGGTGTATTGATGCATATACCAATCTAAGAATAGTATACTTTCATTGTTAGAAGGTAAAGTATCACCATCTACACTTGGTATCAATGACGTTCTTCAATCTCAGAGTAATTTGTGTACAGCTGTATGGGCCAACAGGTACAAAAGCGACAGTTGTGGGATATATTGACTGTTGTAAGGTAATATACAATTTCCCAGGCGAAACGCGTGTCACTGGAATCAATGTGTGGGCAGCCTGAAAAAACTCCTACGCTGTCTCTCCTTCACACGTTGTGCTTATCAATGAGTCAAGAACAGGCTACTGCTATGACACTCACCTACACTACACCTGTCAATCTACACCGATTAACACTGATGCACAGTGTATGTCTCAACATGCTACGAATCTTTATCTACGGGATAACGCTAGGTAGAGTCGAGGATATATTCTTCAACGTTTGTATATCATCGTGCAAAACGGGTATTGGGTTAAATATACAGTGAGCGTATAGCAGTACATCACGCCTGATACAAGGTTGAGTGCATTGTATTATTTTTTTCTCATACATAGCCTTCTAAAAATTAAAAACATTTTTCTGTTTTGTGAAATTATCAAACCACCTGGTATAATTTACCGACAGACAAGGGGTTGTTTTCTTTAAATTCTCCACGGTTCAGACTTCATTTCTCTTATGATCTATTTTATTTTCCACACATACATATAAAGTTGAAGATGATTGCACAGCATACTCGCTACGTCCCATATCGTTATTAGAGCACCATCATACGAATATAATAGATATGAGGCCCGCGCAAGTTGGAAACATCGCTTTGAAGGCTGTATTCTGTGCTTGTGTAGTGTATACGATAACGCATCTAACTCAGAAAGATAACACTGAAGCACGTGATGCTCTGAATGCACTACACTCAGGCTTACATAGCGGTGTTGAAACTGTGCAGAGATATGTTATCGATACACAAAACACATACCAATCTAGAGAACCAATAATCTCCACAATACCTGCTGGCGGTAGTGTTAATCAGGCTGGACTCACTGATACCTACTACCTTGGTTATGGACCCAACGATGGAGGCGATTTGCGCGTTAAGTTTGAAACAGCGTACTATGAGGCACAAGGCTTAGGTAACGAAGAAGGACTGGATAGCCGATCGAGAGTGGACGCTAAAAACAATTACATACTATCGAAGACTAGTAAGTACATAGATGAGAGCTATCCAACAGGAGAAGTAACTCTAGTTACTGGACTATGGGACCTCGGTAGGGGTGGTTTGGTGAAAAGCGACTTTAAACGGCCTTTCAGTCAGTATATTGATGGACTTAAAGCGAATTTTCTGATGAGTCCAATGCCCAAAATATTGTTTCTTCCGCGTGAATTTGCTGAGCAAATAAGAGAATTTGTTTTCGAGAAGGTTGTCAACTTGCGCGTGATTCCTTTGGAATTGGATCAGATGGAAAAGTGGTATGGGGATGCACATGAGGACATGCAGAAAATCCGCACCGACCCCAAATGGAGTGATATATATGGGAAGGATGGCTGGCTGGCGAAATCACCTCAAAGTACTCTAAAGAATTACAACACGGTGGTTATGTACAAGATTTTTATGCTTCGCATAGCTGCGCGATTGAATCACTTCGATACAAAATCATTTTTATTTGTGGACGCGAAGCATATGTGCATGGATCCTCACCGGATGATCACCAAGAATATGGGTATCTTCAAGGAGCACATGCAGAAGTTCCTGACCACCCACTTTTTCTACGGGCCGTCGGGAGAGACACACGGGTTTGTAAACGCGGAATTTATGAAGTGGCTAAACTTACCGGAGCATTCACAGCACAAAGTGTGCAGAGGGGGCGTATTTGGGGGTAAGCGAGAATCTATTGAAATGGTCGCTGCTGTGTACGAGAATATTATGCGACAACATCTAAAAGACGGTTACATGGGGACGGAGGAGAACGTGTTTTCCATCTCTCTATACAGGTACCCACAGTTGTTTATGGCCATGAACAATGATAACGCTTGTGTGGAGTCTACATCACAAGACAAAACTTGTGAGGGCTTCACTAATACTGCAAATTTCTGTGCGATATTCGATTGGGCCTATCACGGAGGACCAAAGAGGGATGGCAAGAGAGTAGAGTATCAAGACAGGGGCTAGAACGTTTGAACTGGCCGGTGCTCTGATAAGGTTCCGATTTAAGACAAGAAACGAAAGTTTAGTATAGGTGGAATGAAATAGAAACACCAGATTATAAAATGCTCAGATTTACTAGGAGTTGTATAGTTATACAATGGGTCCTAGACCCGCTTGATAGTTTGGTATGCTGACATGTAAGTGTATATGTGGGTAATAGTAATTGCCCCCAGCCTTGCATTCACAAATTTCTACATACGATGCAGAATAGACACAGGTATACAAGTTTTCTTATTTATACGAAGTATGTACGCTTATTCGTGGGCAAGTAGATCGATAAATTCGAGTGTGAGCAAGGAAGAGAATATATTGCAGAATACGAATGTCGCCACACATACGAATCATGAGGGTATGTTTTGCGCGACACTTCGTCTTTGTTAAAAAATGCAATCAATCTATAGACGACCCAAGAAGCATACATACATGACCTTGCACGAGGAAATGTACCGTAATTGTATTTGCCCGCAAGTAGCACATGGTAAATTCTAATATGCAGCAAGATGAGACAATTTTTACTTCAATAAATGAATGGTGTATGCTTCAAATACGTGTGTATCTATCTGAATTACTTGCATGTACAGAGGCCATGGAATTCAAGCTTGCCTTTCACAGTATTGCTGTTCAACCTGACAGTCTCAAACTCTGGTAATTGCACTGTTTAATCAAATATTCAGACGAACATATCTCGGTTTTGAAATGGATTAAACCATGTCGAATAATAGCAAGTTTGTAAGTACCCCCGAATTTATATACGATCGTACACCGCTTACACGCGTACCAATATCAAACATGGCAACTATGTCAAGAAGCCATGTATGCACTCAAATCACATATTATCTGATCATGATTACATTTATATATAAAGCGAGCTCTGCATTCATAAAACCTCATGAGTTTCGAAGCCGATGGCTCTTTTGTTATGTTGCCGAACTATCAGATAGGCAGTCTCGATCGGTACTCAATCTTTGGTACTTATTGTATAGCCTCACCGACAATCAACTGCCCCTCCAGAAAAGTAAGTAGGAATCCCGAACACGAATCGGCATGCGAATACAGTACGATTTAACTGCGGGAGAAGAACGAGACTACACTCGTCACTCCGAGTTAGAGATTCATAGGGTCCGAACTTCAATGCTGCCCCCGTCACCCAAGAAAATAGCTGGAGGCGCCGATGCGACAATATCGCTGGGCAAGGCTGAGCGGCACACGCAATATCATACGGAGATCAGCAACCACATACTAGCTTGCGCTGTTGCGTAGACTAAATCTGACTTTGATGCAGTAAGTTGCTTGTCTCATTGGATAGCTCACACTCATCGGCAGATAGGAGCATGGCCAAATCAGCAACTACCAGTTCTTCCCCCCCCGACTATTGATTGACTCTATTAATTGTAAAACAAAACGTAACAACTTTCGGTGCCCCAAGTTTACTAGAGAGTATACTATCGACAGGTAGGAGCATGGTCACACGGATAGCAATGTGCAAATGTGCATCAGCAACTACAAGTTCTTTTTGTCCTCCGACTATTGATTGACTTTATTAATTTGGAAAACAAAACTCACCATGTTTCGTTATCTCAAGTTTACTAGGAAGCAAACTATTCTTAATCACAACGCCCGAGATGTACGACCATTGTGTGGCTTCGAGCGTCGGGACATCACTAATTGTTGAAACCATCATCTGCGCGTGCGATGAACCACAACGATGCTTGATTTCACGTACATGATAATTGTATGGGTATGAATTATGTAACCAATGGTGACCTACCATACTACCGTACGTCAATTCAAAACGCTTACAGGGCTATTTTGGTGTATGGCTGATTTGCATACTTCACGGCTTCCTTCAGCTGCACATCGTCCATCTTTTCAGGTTTGAACTCAGGGGGATATTGGTGCATATCTGCGAAGTTGAGATACAAATCTAGTGTTTTCTTACGCTGCCTAATCTCGTCAGTCAGCCAAGCTACGTGATATTTAGGTTCAATATTCTTAAACATTTGCTCGTCAAACCATGACTGCGGGGACTCTCCGTGTTCGGCAGCTTCCTTGTGTTCGAATAAGCCATCGCCCAGCGCAACCACGTGTGTGCGCCTGTTCCACATGTACTGCCACCAATCCATATTGAACTCCAGGTGAGAGTTGACCTCTTCTCTCGGCTGAGTCCATAAGTAATCAAAAGTGGGTTTGTAGGTGTTGACGAACCAAGACCGTAAGAACATGCCCGGATTATTCGTCCAGCCGCAATAGTTTCCTCTGGCACAGAAAAATCTCTCGCCCGGACCGCACTTCCACATGATGTCGGGGTAGTAATCTACAATGTTATCCAGCCAGAAATACGAATAGCACACAAGATTAGGCTGACGATTCTTGATCATATATTCGCGACCCCCGTAGTAGTCCTCGGCCGTGTTAGGAATTCCAGGTGTCCTTCTGTGTCTGTAGCGAATCACAGTAGCCTCATTGCTGATAAGCAGAGTAACACCATCGTTTATTGCCTGCTTCATACGGTCCTTAGGCTCAATCAGACGGAAGTCTTTCTCCATGAACAGTACCACATCCGAGGTAGCATTACCTACCGCCCAATTGATTGCAGCCATAATGGGCACATTTTTCTCCACACCTATAACCCTCACCTTTTTTTGATTCTCTGCCGAAACTGTAACCACGAGGTCCATCACTTGCTGTCTTCCTTCCGTGGTTTCCATGTTTATAAATACTAGAATCTCTGTCATTTCGTCCATCAAACCCCCATCTGACCAGGATTTCCAGGCGACTACCATAGACTCGATTTGCGGACTGTATGTCAGGCATACAAGTGATTTGGTAGGCTCGCGCTTCTTCTTTTGGTCCCAGGGATCGTAGAAATCGTTGAAATCATACACAATGTGAGGATAACCCTCGTGAGGTGTGTATACTTTGCTGTCTTCTCCCAACGCCACTATCCCCGTTGGTTCGCGCATGACCGTTGTAGTGACGGTTGACACGATGGTCTTATACACAATCTGCCGGTTTGCAAGCGAGTCTATATCTTGCTCACCATCGGATCCGGATGACGCGGAGTCCATAGGCTCCAACTGACCGAATCGGTATGACAGCCAGCAAAAGAATATAAGCGCTACAAACTGAGCAAAACTCGGCTTGATCCCTGAGGCTTTCACCATATTGTCCGACTTGGTTTATGTTATCTCCTAATACCAGTGTCCAACTGTATATTTAAACTATATAGCCCAAACCTTTTATATACATGTAGTTTATTTCTGTGCAGAGGTCTCACTCTCAGATTGTCACCCTGCCACACTGCCGAGTGCCGTCGATGTTTTGGTATTAGTTGTCCACGGGTAACTGGATTCTGTGTATTGTATTGAAAAATCTCTTGTACACGTCACTTCTTGTGAGTTCCGAATTCCGACTGTTGTCAAATCTCACTCTACACTTCACCGAAAGAACAAAAATAAATATATAAACGTTTATTCCCAATGTTTATATTGGAATGGCCCCATATTTGTCACTACGGGTGCATGGGAACTTTCCAGATACTTTACATACGGGATGCCCGCTAAATTCTTTGCATAGGTAGACTCTTGCTTGAATGACCCGTAACGTTTTAAAGTTTATAAATCGAATAAATACGCATTTACGCTCTACTACTGTATCCTTTTTTAACGGATTGGGTTAGCCTGAGACCCACTGTCAAGTGTCACCCCAGGCCCGGCAGTATATATTCTAGTCCCTACCCCCTTATAATTTTTATTGTGGTATTTGAGTTTTGACATTTGACCAGCCCCCTTTCCCGCATTTTGATACTGGAAAAAAGAGTCGACATTTTAAAACTATTTATTTTCAAAAAAACGAACAAACAAATACTTCGAGTCTTTGACTCTGACTTTCGTCTGATACAT